ATGAATATTAAATGCACCTTAGTCTGTTCACTGTTGCATTTCCGTGTAAAAACTCATATTTCTATATTTTTTATATTTGCTCAGTGTATTTTTATATCTTTTTGTGTTATAATAATGTGATAATCAGCTGGCTGCACACACCTTTATTGGAATTATCTTTATTTAATTTTAGAATTTTGCCATCAGTGAAACAGACTAATCTATTCTGTAAATTAGTTGACTTTAATTTATGGGTTTCCAATCCATATGGGAATGCAACCATGTCTGTACGGCACCATTAGAATACATCCATGGAAAATGTTTGGGCATGATCCGGCTGCTTCCATGCATAAAAAAGCAAAGATAATTCAACTCTTGTCAGTTTTGTTGACTAATTGGATTATAACAGTGCTGAGAGAAGCATTTATAGCAATGATAGAAGTGGAGGACTAAATGCAGTGTAATAAATCACTCTGGACTTGTTATCTGAAGATATTTGCTTTTTAATGAATCGGGTATTGTACACTGATGTTCCCTCCACAGGAAAGGGATTTTTTTTAGCCAAATATTTATTAATATGGTTCAAAAAACCTTTTCTTCAAATTCATTAGCTCTTGTGCAAGTCTGCAAGTATTTATAATACATTTAGAGAACTATGTAGTGCATAAGAAATAAAACAATATATAAATACTGTACACCAATTCAGAGATGGTAAAATGCAAATGGAAATACTTTTAACAGTCATTGTTTTTACTTAGTATGAAAGTTTGTGTTTCCGATATTTAATATAACAGTATTCCAAAATAAAATTTCCCACCTCAGCTGAACATAATATAAACTGCAATCGCACTGAACTTGTCCAGTAGGTTTTAGGTTAACATTTTTCAGAAACATGAGATGGAAACTGTGGCAACCATTTTTTTCTTCACTATTAGTTGGCTGTTAGTAGTAGACTCCTCTGGCAATGAAGTGTAAAGATTTAGGGCTTGTCGGAGTGATGTGTTCAGAAATGGTTTTATTTAAAATGAAAAATCTTTCAGTTTGTTTTCTGTCTTTTGAACAATGAGTTATAGAAACATTGTCCATTGAGCTTCACTTACCTCTGGTGACAAAGCACACACATTTGTATTCCTAAATTTGGGGGTGACTTCCTACTGATTATCATTCTGTTTTTATTTAACGTTCCACATTCCACTCAAATTAAGCTCAAATTGAGGTGAAAATTGACTTGATACTTAAAAAAGAGATTTCATCTGGCTTATATACTGTATATATAATCTTTTTCAGTAGTATCCCAATACTGATAGCAATGCCTGTCCCCTCCACAAACACACACCAGTGTTTTGAGACCATGTGTTGCCTGGTTGGGTATTCCACTCCTTTTGCACAGCTAGATAAAGTGGAGATAGCAGACCAACATAGAATAGAATTGCTTCAGATATAGAATGAACACTTATGCCCGTCCGGTTCGGTTGTGCTTTCAATAAATTAGCTAAATCAACTAGTGTATGTGTTGTTGAAGCCCTAACTGCCTTTTACAGGTTCTCAGAGTTCCTGTTTATTGAGAGGATCAAATAGATTTATTTAAAGAACTGCTCTTTATATGCACTTTCGTGCAAAAGTCTTAGACTTAGACACAATCAAAATTTCTTATGTTATGTCTGTACATGATGTGCATCATCACATAATTCAAAGCTCCTACTTGTGTTTTCTAGTAAGAAAACTGCTTTGATTGTTGTTACTTTGATTGTTGTAGTTTACTTTAAGGTGAGAAGGTATCAATCTTGCCATTTAGGTATCTTTAATTCACATTAATGATCAAAATCTTTAAAAAGGTTGATCACAATAATTCAAGGTAAACTATCCATGATTAGCTAAAATGAAATGTTGTAGCTAATCCATCACATTTACCAATCAGATCCAATTGACATAATGTCAAGTGTTCCTTGTCATTAACATAATTTGTTCCTCTATACAGATCCATAAATCTAAAGGTTGCATCATGTTCTACAAAATAAGGGATTATCTAATCAGGGTAAACTGTTAGTTTAAAAGGACTTGGACAGAATTGCAGCAGGTGATCTTTACAGAATTATTCTACATTCTAAATCCAGAGATGGAAAGAAAAATAAGACAATGCAAAATGTCTAAAACCTTTGCACAGCAGTGTACAGCAAACATTGTATTATTGTAATCACAGGATATATGATAACCTTAAAATCTACACCTCTCTTTTTTTATAAAAATATTTCACACTCATTAAGACATCATGTTTAGTAAAGCATGAAAATTTAAATACCTTTTTTTAAAGAAACATAGAGTTCTTCCCTAGAAAGGATAATTGTTTATGCATTCCATAAATGAGAAAGAGAATATCCGAAGACACACCATTCCCAAAAGATTTGTCTGTAAATTTCTGGTACTGTCCATACGAGAATAAATTACCCCAGCTACTCCGGTATTTATAAATCTAGGTAAACAGGCTCTCTGAAGCATCTTTATATGTAAATATTTTTAGAAACTTTTACCTCATATAAGTGTAGTGTGCTCTCTGAAGGCACCAATTCTGTAGGGTTCGGGCATTTACTGGGACAATTATTAATTGTAGCAGTAAATCACAAAATGATTCTTTTAATGGCTTTAGAATCCAACCACGCGATATAACTCAAACAACGCACACACACAGGTACTAATACACAAGGATACATTTATTAATACATAGAATATGCATGGAAACCTAACAGATCTTATCAATAGGGTTATCAGAATACAAAAGGTATATATTCAGTCAGTTACGAAGTGTTACACATATCAAGAGGACATACGTTCGGTATATCATTCATTTAGACCATTTCATAAATGTACTTGGTTATAACTTCTACATTTGATACTCAAAACAAGTACATAACTCTTAGGAATTAAATTGATATCAACTGGTTGGGATAACAATTGAATTCTCGAGCTGTAATGCATTGAAGTTGAATACTCATCCAATCTCTGGGGATTCAGATCTCCTGCGGACTCAAAGAAAAAGTTGCAGGCTGTTGCTGTCCAATCCGCGCTCTCTGGCTCAGTGCCAGGCTGTGCTGTGCGGCTTGCGACGGTGCGCTGCTGATGCTCACTGAAGACCGGCTAGTTAGTGTTGGCTTTAACTAGCAAAGTTTGTGCACAGGAGAAAAGATAACTGTGGGTCCCAGCAAGTCAGGAAGAGGACCGGTTCGTTCCTGATGAAGCGCTAGTTCTGAATACTGATTCAGTTGTCCACAGTTCTGACCTGTTCATGAGGCTTGCTGCTGATGCTAATCTCGGGTGGATCCACTGGTTACTCGTGGCAACCTCCGCTCTAGACTCGTAGAACAGAGAAAAGTTCTGGCACTCGGACACACTGGCCATTCCGTGGTTGTCCGGGCTGAGTCTCAGGATGGTCAGGAGGCACTCTGCGAGAATGTCCTGCCCTTGGGAGCCTTTCTGCTCCTGGGCCGTCCTGCCCTGGAATTGTCTCGCACCACTGGAATTCTCCTTAGAGATTCTCCTTTTCAGAAAAGTCCACAGAATAGTTCCTGAGCTCTGTGTTGCCTGTTTTTACCTGGAGGAACTTCAGCTCGTTCATTGGCTGAAAGTTCCATGGGCATCAGAGTCCCACGTGGGTTACTCGGCCCTACCAGTCCCTGATTGGTTGATCAAAGTGAGATATGAGTCACTTACTCCTGACACTTAGGAATGCAGTCCAGATGTCCATCTGGCACTCCCTAAACAGATAGGCGCCAATGGATGACCATTGATCATGTTAGCCAGGCTTAGCTAAGTGCATCCCCATTTGGGAGCTGTCCCTTATCAAAAGAAAACATCTTTAAATCAGCCTGCATGAATAGCTTCTCTGTGGCTGCACCACAAAGGTGAAGAGAGAGATGGGGCCTCATTTGGGAAAGCACAGCAACACTTAATTCTGTCTTATTAATAAGCCTCACCGCTACATAAGCAATATCAAATATGAAGCATTGCAATGAAATCAGTTCTAGTTCTTTGCGTATAATGAATTTAATGCTAAGAAATCTTTCTACAAACAACACAAAGACATGTAGTTACAATTGATTTTAAGTTTTCATGTATTTTTGTCAAGTGTGTTAAAATTGTGAAAAGTGTAAAGAGTACTGATTTGACTTTCTATATTTCAAACCTGACCTGGACTCTGGACAGAAAAGATGTGGGTTCAAATTCAAATTTGGATGCTGCTTTTGTAGTCTTAGTAATCATACGTCACTTGTATTGTTCCAGTGATTGCCCGACCAAATAAACTGGTCCTCTCTAGGTCATCGTTGTAGGTGAGAATTTGTGCTGAGATGATTCATCTGGTTAAATAGATGAGTATTTGGAAAAGCCGGTGATGAATGTTTCCAGGTGTGACTGTGGACATGTGTGGAGGGGGCATGGGGCTTTCAAAACAGAACACAATCCTTTAATAAGAGTAGAGGGTAGAGGAGTTAATTACTGCACTGTACATTGGAATTTTTGTTCACACTGATCTTTCAGGACATAAACAGTACAGCAGACAACACCACACGATGTACTGTAGACAGCACATTATAAACATAATAAACAATAACAACCAGAACAATTATTGTGTTGTAGAGAACAATAAATATGTAGTAGTGGAAAACAAATGTAGTAAACATGGTAAAAAGTGCAGACATGCATTGAGTCTGAGGCATTGCACTTCGCTGTTAGGATGCGTACTGCAGTAGGGTAGAATCTGTTACATGTTGACATCACAGAAACACTTGTTTGTGTGCTGTGGTCTTTGTAGTTTTACTTTTAGGACAACGGGTTTTGGAGAGTTCTCAAATGCATTAGGCATCACTCTGATATTTCATCCTCCATAAATCCAAAATCATGAACTGCAATAGGCAGGGACAGTTTATGAAAATTTGTATTTTATTTAACTTACCATTACCATTGTGGAAGACTTCGGTACACCTTTTTTCATGCTCTTTTCAAAGAAAAGCTTGGCTGTTGTTTTACAGGTTTATCCAGGAGATAGAGCACAGCATGGGACCCGGGCAAGCCAAGCAATGCCAGCTGAGGACTTTTCTCACTTATTACATCAATGATTACTTCCTGAACCAAGTCCGCACTGAGATCAACAAAGAAATTGAGACAGTGACCAAGGTGTCTGACCCCCTGAAGATCCTGGCCAGTGCAGATACAATGAAGATACTTGGAGTGCAGCGGCCCTTACTGCAGGTAAAACTAAGAGATTTATTGATTCATAGATTCGTGTGACTTTGTGCTGCTTGCTCCAAATCACGATCCAGAAAACGCAAATGGAAACTAATTAATTTTCAGTCGAGAACAGGAGGCACTTCTTTACTCAGAAGGTTACGGAACAAGCCACCCAGCCATGTTGTTGAAATCCTTACTCTGGCTCATTTCAACAAAGCAACTGGATGAGACCCACAGGTCAATAAGCTGCCAAATTCTGAATGGGCTGATGGGTCACATGGTCCTCTCCTCTCTCGTTTGTAACAGTTCGTAAGTTCTTAAGAAAGTTGCTTGTGCGTGACTTCACTGTTGTCTATTTTAAAGTATTTCATGTTAAGTTAGGAAAATCACCAATGGCCATGATATGATGTCATTAGAATTTCACTGCACCCTTAAGTAAATTAGCTATAAAAATTTTAATAATCTCAAAGCAACAGGCACTCATGTTTGTCATAATACCTTATTATTTGCTTGTCTTAAAGACTGAAGAATGAGTAGTAATAGTAGTAGAAGATTTAGACGGTAGGAATGTTAAAACGTTGTTGAAATCTAAGCCTTGCGATTCAGTAAATCAGCTTTGTCTTTGTGCATTGCCCATTTGCTGTGAGTATTGTCCACAGAAAATGCTGGTTGAAATTTCTAGGAAAAGATTTTCAACTTTCTGACGGTCTTGACTCACTTGATGTTTAATTCCAGGGGTGCTTAGCACATCAGCCCCTTTCATGTTGTGTTCACATAGAGAAGAGGTTGACAAAGAAGTACAATTGATCATATGCGTAACCTTTTCAAAATATTGAAGTTTCAGTCTGAAATCACATCCTTTACCTGCTACCCGAAATATGTGTTTTGCACATGGAAAAAAAAGTCTGATCATCTGATGTGTACAATAATGGTATATCATCTTGCAGTATTTGAAGATCAAGGTCAGACAAAATAAAATTTGGACAAAATAACCCATTTATGTAGTTCTTTATGTAGTTATGTAGTTTTAGAACCATATCGACTTAACAGTGGTAGTAAATTACAGTTTAGATAAATTATTTAAGAAATGTAATTGGTGTTTGTTTAGGTAGCTTTTATTTAGCTACTGTGTGCTGTTTGCATTTCAGTATTTTGAAGGTATAAGAGATTGCTTTATTAGCCATATACAATTTCTTGCATTAGGACTTTGTCTTTCACATACCCCAACTTGATCTCCATGAGAGAGAGAAGCTTGGATTCAAAGCACAGGGTCAGCTATTGTACAGCACCCCTGGAGCAGCTGGGGTTAAGGGCCTTGCTCAGATTCCTCTGCCGGCTGCGGGATTTGAACCGGCAACCTTCCAGCCACAGGCGCAGATCCTTAGCCACAGAGCCACCGCACCGTGGGTGTTAAGCATAAAGGTTGAATGAAGAAGGGCTTCTGTGTTAATGAGCATCTTCAGTTGAGCTACTGCATCTCTGCTTCTTGCTTGTATTTGTATTATGTGAAGTTTTATTTACCAACATCTGATTCTTTTTTTAAATTTGTGTTAGTTGTGAAACAGTCATCTCAATATTTATGACATCGGGAGAGCTTTAAAAATTTCATGTAAAAAGAACGCTCATCCAAAATTGAACTTAGGGCCCCAGTGCTGCGAGCCAACAATGCTAAACTCTGTGGTGCCCCAGCTCTAAATTTAATATTCTTAAAACACACAAATAAACAATTTCTTTTGCATGGCCTAATTATTCAGATCACCAACACCAACAGAACCTTTTCAAATCTAAAAGACATTTTTTATTGACTATGGCTTAAAACAGCTGTAGTATAAAGAAATCTCTTTACGTAAATGGATTCTGCTTTCAGTAGTAAAAAATTGCTTTTCAGTTTTGGAAAGGATTAGAGAATTTGTACCTTCAATATTATTAATCTGCACAAACTCTCAGCTAAAGGGTCCTTTAATCTCCAATGGCAGTTAATTATGTTAAAAAGAGAACAGCTTTCTGTTTCTGTTTCCATTTTTTTCTGATTACAGCATCCACATATTAAGATGACAGCAACTTCCTAATTGCCCAATGGGGATAAAGAGTGGCTTAACATTGAAAGACTTAATATCTTTTATAAAGTGTGAACTCAAAAAAGAGCTCTTTTGTTAAGCTTAGCCATTCTTAATTATCTGAAATGAAAGAACCATGTTGCATATTTCTTTTTGTGATTGCAATGATATCTTCTCTTTTCTCATTTAGTGAATTTGGTATGATGTAAGATTACAGTTGTCCTTTAAACAAAATATAAGCACATACTGTATGCACACACATACTATATATACCAGTGGAGGCTGGTGACATCTGTCCAGGTCAGGGGTGGAGCACAAGTACAGTATGAATAGTCAATGTTTCAGCCTTGAGCTAAGACAAAGAAGGTTTTTATATGTTTTGGAAATCAGATTATGAATCATTAACTAAAATAAATAATCATAACCCCCAATTGTAAAATGTCTATATATTAGAATGTACCTGGCTGGTATAGTTAAAAGAACCTGGGTTTTTGTTCTCACCTGGGTTTTTGTTCCCTGTCACGGCTCTGGCAAAAGAGTAATAAATCTGTGGCAAACTGGGCAAAACAAATATTCATTAACAACGACAATAACACAATCTTAAGTGTCACACAACAGAACATACAACATAAAACATACTGTACAGTTACTCTGTTTACAAGCACAGCTTCTCAGAGGCCAACAAAAAAGTAAACCTGCATCCTAAATAAAACAGAATACAAACCAGAGCTAAATTTCTCCTATTAATTTGAATGGTCCAAAGATTCTAAAACTGCGTCACTAGCACAGAGAGAACATGTTTAACCTGGGGATTCTTTATAAGGGAAATCAGAGTTTCCTAAAATAACTGGAAAGCAAGATGTCTTAAACAAGGTTCCAACAGGTTGATTTGAACAAAATCCTCTTGCCTGGCACTCTTTGACTTCTCTTTCTTCTCGTCTTTCTCCTCCTTGTCCTCTTTTTGTGTGTATCCCTCTTTCTGCTTCTGCCTATCTGTCTTTTATGGAATGGTTGAGGATTCTTAACCTTATTTCAGCTTTTAGTATAATATGTGACTCTAGATGTATATTTGCAGTAAACACTACACTTTTCATGACTAAAAACAACATTTTTTAATTGTTTCACAATGTATCATAAATGAAAATGATCTCCAGGATCCTCTAAATACAACCATTAACTTTGTTCTCCCAGCAGTGAAACTGTTTTCTGATAATGTGACAAATTAATGAGGTACTGCCATACTCAAGATTTCATAATCATATAGAACAATGTCATATAGAACAAAACACAGCACCGCAAACCTTATATGAAAAGTTTGGCCAAGATTTAAATTGAATATACAGTACTGTATATATGCTATCATTGATTTATGATTTTAAACCAAATATATAAATTATGGCCTAAGAAACAGAAATATTAACTATTAATTGATAAAACTGCTATACAGTATACCACAGTCTTTGCCATATTAACTTGTAGCCTATATTTTAAGACATCAGTGCGGTATCCTACTGTACTTTACCATTTTCCATTTATAGGTAGTGATCACTTGCAGATTTTATACAGTGCAATCTAGCTTGGCAAAGTGCATCTTCAGAAGTGTGTTAACCTCCATACTATACTTACATCAACAAGAAGGAAAACAATAACTGTCTCTTACTATTCCAGTTTTGTGATGAATTTCATTGTTTTCTTTCTTGAAATACTTTGCAAATCTCAACGCAGAATCCCCAGATTGCCTATTTAAAACTTCAACCATAAGAGAGCAGACTGACTACTGGACGGCGGGTGTAAGCGCATCTGTTAATTTGATTAAATCTGGAAGAGACATGCCTTCCTCCTGGGCAGAGAACGCCCCACTTAAAGCCAGAAATAAGGCTACATCATCTGTCTCTTTCTGTATGGAGTCTAGTTAGAAATGGGGATTCGCAATCCAGTCAGTGCCTAGCATCTCTTCCCTCTGAAACAAAATATCAGCTGTCCAAAAAACTAAAGCCTGAACTTGACCGATGGCAGTATATTAAGGCAACACATCTCTGCATGTGGTCAATATGTTCTATACACACATGAACCCCTTGCAGGCAGCTGCGCTTACCTAATGAATGTACTGCATGTAGTGGCTGCCTGTGTGGGGATATTTGAAAGTTTGAATGGTATGAGAATGGGAAGAATTGCATACAGTATCTGTACAGGCCACTCTGTCATGCCACCCCCTTGGAGGGCCAACAGACTCTAAACAAAGGACTAGCGGTTATATGTTTTTAACTTTTCTACAAATGTCATACAAGTAAGGTGTTCTTAATAGGTTCTTGAAAGGTTCTTAATATGGGATTTGGATGGTGTGTGGATGTGTTTTATTTTTTTAGCGCTCGAATTAATGCACGCGTATCATGATCCCAGGGTTTGCCCTTCTGCCCGTTGCTGAAGATGTTGATGCTGACATCACCTTAGACACAGTTGTTTGTGAAACATCAGCAGGTTGAGCTGTCTTGATCACTAAAGCTCCTGCCAATTTCACCACAACAGTCACCACTATTTCACTGAAGTCTCCTTTTTGCTACCATGGTAGCCATAATTGCAGGCCTTGTCCACCATTTTTTGTATAGCATGTGACCATAAGCACACTGGGATGTTATTTGTTTATTTATAAACATACAAGCAGGAACCAGACCTATGTGAAAGGCTTTGCTTCTGATTTAGTGTTAAACCTCAGGATCTGTGAGAATTGGGTACCTTGTAGCCTCTGTGAATGATGAATAAGCGAATAAGGAACATAGTACCTTATGGAGAAAATAGGGTATGGTTCCGTGGCTCGTAAAACTAGAATTTCCATAGTTCTATTTTTCAGAAATAGTGTTAGTATTTATTAGTATTAAGTATTTCTAATTCAATGGAATACTGTAAACGTAAAATAAAGCTTCACTTTTCCTGTATAATTCAAGTTATTGCATGTGCCAACAAATT